TGAAACCACAGGGCAGGCTTGGGTCAAGGGCAGACAGCACACCATGGACAGACATGTAACCAGGGCCAAGGTGAGCCAGGCATCATCTGGTGAGGGCCTGCTTCTCAGCTCAGGGACCTCCTGGGGTGGAAGGTTCTGGTCCCACCTCCTGGGACCTCACATGGGGGTCAGGGTTTCATTCATGAAACCTGGGCACAGACATCCCCACCATGGCGTTCCACCCCCAGCACCCCAGGCCCATGTCCTCCTTGCAGGCAAGCACGGTCCTTGCATCCGGACAGCCCCCATCTGGTGCAGGTGTCACCTGTGTCAGGTGTGGCTCCAGGTGTGACTGTGGAGATGACTGCTCCTTCCGGGAGCAGGTTCAGGCACATTCCAAAAGGGAGAGATGGGGGACAGGAGGGACAGGTCCCAGACAAGTCTCAACCTGCATGTGGGTCAGCAGCCCTCTCTGGGCCTCCAAGGCTCTGTGGTTTTGGGCGGCCCTGCCCCCATGCCACTCAGTTGTCCCAGCTGGGACATCCCTGAGTGTCCCAGGCTGGGTCCAGGACAGTGACTCCACCAGGCAGGGACTCTTGCACTGAAGCTGTCCCGGGAGAAACATCGCAGGGTCTTGGGGACATTTGTGGAGTAAACCAGCTGATGGAGTCAGTCAGTCTCTCTCTCTCTCTGCCTTTCTAATGCACACTCACAGGGCCACACCTTATCAGCTGTCTCCTGAACTGCCACTCTCATTCTCCTTAACACAGACAGCCTGAGAATGTTCCAGATCTTCAGGCTCTGCTTCCCTTCTGAGTAACAGCTCCATCACAAATCCTTCCCCTTGTCTCACATTCATCACCCACAAGTTCTGCCTTCCACATGGCATGGATTAGGGCACCCCCCGCTCAACCCTTCCCCCATGTGACCAGGCCTCGCCCACCCACATATCCACCAACAACCTGTTCTCACCACACTGGACCTGAGTTTGGCATCTGAGGACAGCGCTCCCCCTGACCCAGAGCCCTTGCCCATGCATTCACAGCAACACAGATTTTCTAGGACACAGCCCAGACCCTTCCATCCTCTCCACAGCACCCAGCTCAAAAGCCACTCCCACACATGGTCTGTCAGCCGGCACCTGCTGTCCTCTGGGACGGCTTCCTCCAGGTGTCCTCAGCAGCTGAGCAGAGGCCCCTGCCCTGGTCACAGCGGCCTTCCTGTCACTGTCCCAGCATGGCAGAGGGGCTAGGCAGCTTGAGGTCTCTTACTGGCTCTTACCACCATCTGCTTGGAGACCCTGATTCTGGGGGATGCACACATTCAGAACCTTGCACCAGGGGAGAGGGTGAGCTAGAGATGGGTGGGGAGGAGCCCCAATAGCACACAGCTCAGGGCCGGATGTGAGAACAGGCCTTCTCCCAGTGCTCTCCTGCGACACCCACAGACCACCACGGTGCTCACCTCCAGTCTACTCTGAAGGTGCAGTGTGAGGTGGGCATCAGCTCCCCACCCCCTCTGAGAAGGGATGCAGCAAGGGAATACTGATGCACCCAGCGAAGGGGTGAGGTAACCCACAGGCAGCCTCCAGGGACAGATGCACGCGCACCAGCGAGAACCAGTCAGGAGGAGCATGGTGCAAAAGGCACCCTGGCTGGCCACAATGTGCAGGGTGCCCAGAGGGAGAGAAGGGTCCAGAGCAAGGCAGACAGGGGCAGGCATGGTGGCACAGCGAAGCCGGCATCCCACATGGACACTGCTAAGACCCAGCTGATCCACTTCTGATCCTGCTCCCTGCATTGCAGCAGAAGATGACCCAAGTGCTTGGACCCCTGCACCCATGTGGGAGACCTGGAAGAAGCTCCAGCCTCCTGGCTTTGGCCTGGCGCAGCCCTGGCCATTGTGACCGTTTGGGGAGTAAATCAGCTGATGGAGGATCTCTCTCTCTCTCTCTTGTCCCTCTAACTCTCCTTTACAATACACTAGAAAATAATAAAAACTGAAAAAGAGATGTACACAGCCCTATAGCATAAAATGCACACATAGTCCTGTATGACAGAGAATGATCCAGACAAATATCAACAATGCCATGGTTGAGAAACTGCTCTGTAACACTAGAGAAAGTTACCATCAGTTCAATAATCTTCACAGGTGCATCAGCCAATCTGGGTCCATCTTGTTAGCTCACTTACTTCTTTTTCCTACCATTTTCTAAGGGGCTGCTTTGTTTCTTTTAAAGTGTCTTGAGGTTTACTTACTTAGTTGTATTCATCTTATATGAAAGCTGGAGGGGGAGGCCAGAGGAGCAGGGAGGGTGGTGGAGAGCTTCATCTCCCATCCACTGGTTCACTCCCCAGATGCCTCAGTAGCCAATGCTGGGTCAGGCTGGAATCAGAAACTCTGTGGGTCTCTAGGTGGATGGCACGGGCCTAAGTACTTGAGCCATCACCTGCTGTCTCCCAGGGTGTGATCAGCAGGAAGCTGGCATCTCCCAGGAACAGAGCTGGGACTTGAACCCAGCACCATGATCTGGGATGCAGGCGTCCAATGGATGTTTTAACCGCTGAGCCAGGCTTGAACCCCAGGCTTGTCATTCTAATTGTGCATATGTTTTCAGTATTGTAACAGAAAGACCAACACTATTTCAACTTTAAAATTAAAAAAAAAAAAAAAACACAACAGGGGCAGGAGTTTGGCTTGGCAGATAAAACACTGGTCGGGACACCTGTGGTCCACCTCAGAGAATGTGTGTTGGATCCCTCGCTCTGGCTCCTGGTTCCAGCTTTCTGCTAACACAGACCCTGGCAGGTGGCAGTGATGACCCCAGAAATGGGCCACCCACACGGGAATCTGGGATTGGGTCCCTGGCTCCCAGCGTCAGGATATTTCAGGAGTGAACCAACAGATGGGAGCTTGCTCTCTGTCTCTTTCTCTCTGCGTATTCAATAAGGAAATATTTTTTAGAAGAAAAACTCCCATCACAATCCAGGAAAACACCAACCCGACAGAGGCACCGGGGAGGCGGAGCAACGTCCAGGGATAGGAAAGGGCCTGGAGTTGCTCTGTGTAAAACTCCACTGCCCAGAGGCTGTGCTGGGCCTCATGCTCTCCTGATCCTCAGACAGGGAGAGCCTGGGGCTGCTTGTGGCAGAGTCCAGCGAGGGACTCACTAGAGAGAGGCCGGGGCCAGGTGTCAGGGGTGGGTCCACCATCACTCATGCACAGGAATCTCAGGGTCTGCTCTATGCTAATAGTTTAAAATTTCATACTTATAGTTTTGTTATAGGTATCTTGTTGATACCAGCATCTATTTTTACTTGTCTCTCTTGTATATAATATTGTATAGTTCATTTTGGTTCTGTTTTTAAAAAAAGATTTTATGTACTTGAAACTCAGAGGGAGGGAGGCAGAGAGCAAGAGAGAGCGCCTGAGAGAGAGCACTTCCATCTATGGTTCACTCCACAGATGGCCACATCAGTCAGGGCTGGGACAGGCCAAAGCCAGGAGCTAGGAGATTCATCTGGGTCTCCCATGGAGGAGCAAGGGTCCAAACACTTGTGCCATCCTCTGCTGTCTCTCTCATTAGCAGGAACCTGGTCCAAAATGGAGCAAACAGTGCTTGAATTGGTGCCCATATGGGATGCTGGCATTGCAGGCAGTGGCCTTACCCACAATTCCATGATCTCAGTCCCTCACTTTTGTTCGTAAGTAGAAAATTAAAATGATTGTCAGCCTTCTAACATATTCACTTGAGGCTATACCTTTTCTAAGAACTGATTTATATGACATCTCATAACTCTTCCTTTGTTCTCAAATATTGTACATGCAGGTAATCTTCTTCCCAGTGTCTCTAGTCCCATGTTCCTCTAGCTATGCCTTGTTTTGCCTATCTCTAATCTTGGCCCTAAAACCTATGTGGTATCTGCAATTTCAACATCTCATGTGATTGAGACTTAGGTTTATTCTTGTATTTTTGCCATTTTGAAAATATTTTTCTGCCAACCAGGCAAGCTCTAAAAACCCTGTTACTTATGTCTGCTGCATGAGTCTCCATCCTTTTTGTCTACAGCACGTCTTTCCTCGAGTGTCTTTCCAGTTTCCGTATCCAATGCCAATTGCCATGCATTTCTCACCTCTCTTCATATAGCTGTGATCTTCCTCAGTCTGCCTGGTCTATACAGCCTATGTCAGAACTACTATGTTTCCAATCCCCTCTCATCTCCTGTGATTTCAGCTCATGGCAGTCTTTAGTTACCACTCTGATTTCACTTAAAGCCATGACTTCGTGCAAGCACCTCCATGTTATTGATCTGTAGCCAGTAAATTCCTTTTGTCTCTGAAATCCCTATGACTCCAGCCTATGCCTTTTCTTTTGTATCCTCATGTCCGGTGTACACCAAGTGTCTCATGAGTCCTCCTTTGTTCTTTTTCAAAGGTCCCCACCTACTGGCAAGGTTTGGTTATCTGTTTATATTCTGATGGACCTCTTTTTTTGACAGAGTGGACAGTGAGAGAGACAGAGAGAAAGGTCTTCCTTTTTGCTGTTGGTTCACCCTCCAATGGCTGCCGCGGCTGGCGCACTGTGCCAATCCGAAGGCAGGAGCCAGGTGCCTCTCCTGGTCTCCCACGCGGGTGTAGGGCCCAAGCACTTGGGCCATCCTCCACTACACTCCTGGGCCACAGCAGAGAGCTGGCCTGGAAGAGGGGCAACTGGGACAGAATCCAGCACCCTGACCGGGACTAGAACCCGGTGTGCCGGCGCCACTAGGCAGAGGATTAACCTATTGAGCCATGGCACCGGCCCCTGATGGACCTCTTGGTTTCATATAGGTTATAGTCATTATGAAGCTGCTGGATATATTTTCTTGCTGCATTGTATGTAGGCATATGATACTATTGTAGGACCTATTAATAACATAGCCAGATATCTTGTAAAGTATCATTATGCATTCTGATCAACAATGAATGAGATTTTTTAATAGCATATAATTAAACAAATGCTAATAAAATTTTGGATGCTCTACATTCAAAAACTTTGGCAGTTGTATTTATTTCATTTTTCAGTCCATTTTTAATGCGTCAAAGCTTGCTAGAAGAGAGTTGGAAAGCATTGAGTCATTATGTATTGTCTATTAAACTTACACAAAGAAAAAGAAATCTGAAACATCCTATCAATAGACCAAGAAGACAATAAAAGTCCAGGCAAGCCAGAAATCAGTTCAGCATTGGCTCAGAAACAAGCACTTCAGCAAGCATTAGGAAAAGGACAAGGTTAAGTGGGAACATAGGGAGTCCTTAGACAATGAGAGGCATGGCCTTTGCCCTCACACACAATTCAAGCTGCATGGACAGTGGATAACATCTCCATTCTCCTCTACCATCTTGATCTCATTTCTAAGATTTGCAGAGCAAGGAACTGGGACCCAGAAAGAGGCTATGAATTGACCTCACTCCCCATGCATATAGCCACAACTGTATCCACATGAATTTTTTGTTCAGCCCACAGTTGGTCCCCTTTGAAAGTTGGCACTCCTTCCCACTTCTATTTTAGGCCTAACTTGTATATTTTGCCTTTATGTGTACTAATTTTTCAATACAAGGCATATATTTTATGTATAACTACTTATTTGCCTTTAAGTTTCCGAGTATCCTGAGATTTGACTCTGCATCTTACGATTAGCACTTGGACTGGATCTGTATATTGCCAATGAACTGTTCCCAACGTTTAGGATTAGAGGTGGAAGGAATGACTTGTAGGACTGCCCTCTGGACAGGAAGCAGAAAAAGAGCAACTATAGCTGTATCATTCATCACTACATTTGTAACCAAGTCATTGAGGAATGGCCATGTCACCTAGGTACATTGTCCATCCAGAGTGGGTACATGCTGATATCAGAGATGAATGTAAATCCAATCAAACCCCAAGAAGAACTTTGAGGAAAGAAAAGTAAACACAACATTTCAATAAAACTTAGAGTCACCATGAGGTGGTGGAAAATAAAGCCAAAAATATTAAAGTCATTGTAAAACTACAAAAATACCATACTATTATATTTTTGTACCAGTTTCTCTGTTTCAGGGGTTAAACATTAGTCCAAGTTACTGTCTCTAGGCAACAAGGAATTTGAAAAAAAAAAAAAGCTAGAAACAAGGAATCAGGAAAGTAAAATTTAAAGAGATAGTATGGTGCTGGCACTGTGGCATACTAGGTTAATCCTCCACCTGTGATGCCAGCATCCCATATGGGAACTGGTTCTAGTCCCAGCTGCTAGGGCCCCTGCACCTAAGTGGGAGACCCAGAGGAAGTTCCTGGTTCCTGACTTTGGACCGCTGCAGCTCCAACCATTGTAGTTATTGGAGGAGTGAGCCATTGGATGGAAGACCTTTCTATCTCCCCTCTGTATGTAACTCTACCTCTCAAATAAATTTTAAAAAATCTTAAAAAAAAAAGCAATATTGTGGACAACCTCAGGAGAAAATGCTGCAATTTAAAAGGTTTGTAGTTATCCTTTAATAGGATAGTAGGTGATGTCTGAGAAAACACCTACTTGAATATTTAAATAAGGCTAAGTTGGGAGCAGGACTTGAGTATCACCCACTTCCATGATCCTTTCGAAAATCTCAGCTTGTCATAGCATCAGGTGCATATGTGTTGAAATTTAGGAAGTGTCATGCATCTGGTGCATGATGGGAAGAGAGGCCCAGGTGCTTGATGTTGAGTAGGTTTGCCAGTCTTCACTCATCTTGGATATTTCTAGCCAGTACAATCTTAGGAACAACACACAAGGTGTGCAGTATGTTCTATGTGTGGTATTAGCATGGGTGCTGATAGTCCTTAATTTCTAGTGCTCACTAGCTACCTGCATATCTCAAGTAGCTCAAAAAAATTAAATGAGCCAGAATCAAGCCAAGTGAATACAACTGCCAAAATTTAATTACAAACAGAAGCAAACCACAATAGAGTGGAATGAAAACAATCCAAAAAAATGAAAGTAAGAAGAGTTACAAACATAGTTTAAATCTCAGGAGGACTGCTTAGCATTTATGCCATGAGAGCATTGTGCACACATCCCCTCTTCGCCCAATAAGCAAACTTCTGGCAAAGAGGGCAAATTTGGACTTACACACAGAGAAGTCTATGATTCTCATGAGTATAAAGTTTGTCAGAGACTCATCCCCTAATCTGGACAAACCACTCATCATTCAGAGCTGGGATATAGTATAATGGCTGGCATATATAAGTCAGGCGATGGGCCAATGGTCACAACTTGATCTGTAGAGTCACGTGGGGAAGGAATCATGGGCAACCAATAAAATCAAACAACTTTGCAAATGATGAGGATAATATTTCAAGTAAGTATCACACGGAAAATACTTAACAAAATTTATATGTGGAAATAACTCATTGTCATGGTCCCACTCATAATACGAGAAAGCCAAGAATTCAGATTGTATGTCAAAGGAGGAAAAACTAGACTTTAAAGAACATATAGCCAGTCTCAGTCATACAAGGTAAATCCTTCATTTGGATTTCCTAATAACTGCTGAGGTGTGGTTCCATATAAGTTACATTTTCAATGTTTTCTCTGTAATTTTACTGATGTTTCTTAAAATTTGCCTTATAGTAAAGGTTTCCACCTCCAATACATTCACAGGGATTTTGCTCTATGTGAATCTTCTAAGAGGTGGTAAAACATGAACTATGGTACAAAGTCTTAGTATACACACATGCTTTCTCTTCTCAATGTACACTGAAGAGTGACTTTTGCCAAAGATTTTTCACATACATTATATTGACAGTGTTTTCTTCTTTGTGTAGTATATGGTATCTATTGAGGTTTAATTGAAGCAAAAGATTTTTTTTGACATTGATTGCATTCAAAGTTTCCCAGTTTTTCAATTCTATGCCTATTGAGGCTTTAATTCTGGGATAGTTTTTCCGTACTCATTTAATTCATGAAATTTCTCCTATGCGGATTTTCTGATGTGTTATGAGGTCTGACTTATGGCAAAAGGCTTTTCCAGATTTACTGAATTCATAAGATTTCTCCCCTATGTGAATTCTCCTATGTTTATTCAAGTTTGACTTCTGGGAAAAGGCTTTTTCACACTCATTACATACATAAGGTTTCTCCCCTGTGTGAATTCTCAGATGTCTTATGAGGTCTGAGTTCCGGCAAAATGCCTTTCCACATTCACTGCATACATAAGATTTCTCCCCTGTGTGAATTCTCTCATGTTTCTTCAAGTTTGACTTCATGTAAAAGGCTTTTCCACATTCATTACATTCAAAAGCTTTATCCCCCGTGTGAATTCTCTGATGTGCTATAAGGTGTGATTTCTGGGAAAAGGCTTTTTCACACTCATTACATTCATAAGGTTTCTCGCCTGTGTGAATTCTCTGATGGGTTATGAGGTCTGACTTCCAGGAAAAGGCTTTTCCACATTCATTACATTCATAAGGTTTCTCCCCTGTGTGAATTCTCTGATGTCTTATGAGAGCTGATTTGTGGCAAAAGTATTTTTTGCAGTCGTTACACTCATAAGTTTTCTCCCCTGTGTGAATTCTCTGATGTGTTACAAAGTGTGATTTCAGGTAAAAGGCTTTTCCACATTCATTGCATTCAAAGGGTTTCTCCCCTGTGTGAATTTTCTGATGAATTAGGAAGTGTGACTTTCGGGAAAATGCTTTTCCACATTCGTTACAATCGTAAGGTTTCTCTCCTGTGTGAATTCTCTGATGTCTTATGAGGACTGACTTCTGGTAAAAGGCTTTTCCACATTCATTGCATTCATAAGATTTCTCCCCTGTGTGAATTCTCTGGTGTTTATTCAAGTTTGACTTCTGGGAAAAGGCTTTCTTACACTCACTGCATACATAAGGTTTCTCCCCTGTGTGAATTCTCTGATGTGTTATGAGGCCTGACTTCTGGCAAAACTCTTTTTTGCACTCATTACATTCATAATGTTTCACCACTGTATGAATCTTCTGATGTGTTACAAAGTGTGACTTTTGGTAAAAGATTTTTCCACACTCATTACATTCAAAAGATTTCTTCTCTGAGTGAGTTCTCTGATGTGTTATGACATGTGATTTCCGGGAAAATGCTTTTCCACACTCATTACATTTATAAGGCTTCTCCCCTGTGTGAATTCTCTGATGTGTAACAAAGTGTGATTTCAGGTAAAAGGCTTTTCCACATTCATTGCACTTAAAAGGTTTCTCCCCTGTGTGAATTCTCTGATGTATTATGAGATGTGACTTCCTGGAAAAGGCTTTTCCACACTCATTACAATTGTAAGGTTTCTCCCCAGTGTGACTTCTCTGATGTCTTATGAGGACTGACTTCTGGCAAAAGGCTTTTCCGCATTCATTGCATTCATAAGATTTCTCTCCTGTGTGAATTCTCAGGTGTTTATTCAAGTTTGACTTCTGGGAAAAGGCTTTCTCACACTCATTACATACATAAGGTTTCTCCCCTGTGTGAACTCTCTGATGCGTTATGAGGCCTGACTTCTGGCAAAAGTCCTTTTTGCACTCATTACATTCATAAGGTTTCACTGCTGTGCGACCCTTCTGATGTCTTACAAAGTGTGGTTTCATGTAAAAAGCTTTTCCACACTCATTAATTTCATATAGTGTCTGCCCTGTGTGAATTCTTTGATTTCTCATGAGATATGACTTCCAGGAAAAGGGTTTTCCACATTCATTGTACCCACTGGGCTTTTCCCCTGTGTGAGTTCTGTGATGGACTGTGAGGCAGGATTTATGGCTGAAAGATTTTTTATAGGGTTCACATACATAGGGTTTCTTTCCTGTATGTGTTTTCTGATTCATTGTAAGATCTGATTTGTAATTCATAGCTTCCTCACCCTTAAAAAATTCACAGAGTTTCTCTTTTGTTTGGGTTTGTTGATACTTACTAAGGTTAGAATTTTTATGCAAAGTTTCCTTCCCTATTTGAATTGTCTTCATTGTCTTTCCTACAATAGTTGACTTGTTACAAGTGTCTCTCATATAAGCCTTCTCAAATGTAAAGAACATTTTCTTCCTTTGCAAGGTTTTTACTTGTTTACTGTGATCAAATGGCACAGTCTGAACCTTGTGATGCTGACTATGAGGCTCTGAGCAATGAGAAGAGTTCCCAGGTACATTAGGGGCATCTAATTTCTCTCCAGCTTGCATCTCATCCAGCACACTAGGGATATGCACATTGTGAAATATACTGCATACCTCAGGTTTCATTCCTGAACAATTTCTCTTTTTGATGATCAGTTTTTGAATATGGCTTGAGTTTAAATTACGTGTTTTTCTTGATTCAATGCCCTTGTGAGTGAATGTATTGTTTGTGACCACATCCTTCCTCAAATTTATGTCTTGACTTTCCTTGTTGGTCACAATCAGGCCATCTCTTTCCTGGGAAACTGAAATGAGAAAAAAATACTCATATTCAAGAAGCAAATCCAAACGTATCTTCTGGAATACTCAAGTAAATGATGCTTCCTCTTATACTAATTGCCTAAGGCATTCATTTATGACCATTATAAGGCTTTTCTCAAAAATAACTATAATAATAAATTATATCAATGTATTTACCCAATGTTCACAATCTTTTTGTTTACTACATTAAATGCTTTTCTTTTAACTATGGCAAAATAGGTTATGTGTTAATATATGTTAAGCCAGTGCTTGAGATGACTATATCCTATAACAGTCCCAGTTTACATCCTGCGACTTGCTTCTAGTATAGTTTTCTGTTAATATATCCTGGGACATAGAGTTCTTGGGCTCTGCCATGGAATTCTAAGCTTTTGGCTTCATTCAGACTGATTCAGCCATAATCCTTGCAGGCATTTGGGGAATGATCCAGTGTACAGAAGATATTTATCCCCCCCCCCCGCCCCTCCATCACCCCTCACTCTGCCTTTCAAGTAGAAGAAAATCAATATACAAGATTTTAAAGAATGGTGAAATGTTTAGTAAGGATATTCCTGCACTGATCACCTGAAATAAAAATATTTACTAAGAATATTCTTGGGAGATTCCAAGATGGATGAATAGGGAAAAAACATAATGCTTTAGGCAAGGGGAAAATAGTAGCAAAAAAAAGTAGATAAAGTGCAAGTGAGGTAGAGAGAAATCTGTGGTAGAAATTCTACAGAAAGAAGAGGGATGCCACAGATTAGTGTAGAAGGTGTGGATGCACAGCAAAGAGTGGGTGGAAACTGTTGAAATCTTTACTTAATGTATACTAAACTGATCTTCTGTATATACAGAAAATTGAAAATGAATCTTGATATGAATAGAAGGGGAGAGAGAGCGGGAAAGGGGAGGGTTGTGGGTGGGAGGGAAGTTATCGGGGGAGAGGGGGAAGCCAATGTAGTCCATAAGCTGTACTTTGGAAATCTATATTCATTAAATAAAAGTTAAAAAAAATTATTAAATTATAAAAAAAAAAAAGAGCAAAAGACAGAACCAATGAACCTGACAGCTGAGAGCCAGAGGAAGTGCCACCTTGGGAGAGTGAGGTGAGAGCAGACTGCAGCAGCCCATGCCACTGATGATACTGCCAGAAGGAGAGCCTGGCAAACCACACTGTCTTTGACTCTGGTCTGGAGCCCTAATGGGGAACAGGGTACCTGCCTAACCCAGTTTAAAAACGGAAAGTTTCTTTCTCCCCATCCCCCAACAAGGGCATGAGGCAACTGGCAAAAAGAAGGCACTATATTGACATCATTAGCATGGGGGACAGCTCTTGTGTATGCGTGTGATCCAGAATACTACCAGATGGAAAAATCTGTGTCCCCCATGACTTTGAGTCTGCTGGCTGGGAGGATTGACAGGGGGCTGGGCACTCACATAAGACTGTGAGGTACTTCCAGCCTCTCAACATATCACAGGCTCTGAGACGCACACCCTCAGGGCAGAGCACCCACAGGTAGTTGGCTTCGGGAATAATTCTGCTGTGTCAACAGACAGGATAGGCTAGTGAGGTGGAGCAGATGTTTTGCAACCCATGACTGTGGGAGCCTTGTGTGTTGGGACTGTGGGAACCCTGTGATTGGATGATAGGATGTAGGGTGCAGCTGGGTCTCTGGACAATCACTGTGTCTCTTGCTGGAGGTACAGTTTCCAAACTGCCTAGGTGGGTTTTTGCAGTGGAATCCATGCTCACAGAGAGGACTGCAGAGATCCTTTGTGTGGTTCATGTGGCAGTGTAGGTGAGTGTTTTTAAGTTGCTGTAGACGAAACTCAGGCATTGATCACTTTGGAAGAGAGGAGGTAGGTGTGTGATTATGCCAACAGAGATGATCATACATTCATCCCTACTGACAATAGAGATCTATAATGCCCGGCTTGGGTGTCACCCTGGATACTACAACACCCTGGAACATAGATCATAACTCCCTGACACCACCCAGCACATGCCTCTGAGAACTCACTGAAAGAGCAGACATTCCACAGAGGCATAGTTCACAGATAAAGCAACCAGAGGGGAAAATCGAGCATTTTCACAAATGATAAAAAAAATAGAAACTCAAGAAACAAAAATGAGCAAGAAAACATGACTCGCCCATAGTAACACAACAACACTTCAGTATTAGATTGTGAAGGCAAAGAGACTGATGAAATGCCTGAATGGAAATTCAAAAGATTGATCACAGGATTACTCAGAAGCCAGGAAAAGCAAATTCATGAATTAAAGAAATCCATATATTACATGGAAGGAAAATTTTCCCATGAAATTGAGATGTAGAAGAGAAACCAAATGGAAATATTAGAAATGAGGAATTCAGCATGTCAAATAAAAATATACTAGAGCCTTAAAAACACACTTGGTGAAACAGGAGAAACAGTATCAGAGCTAAAAGACAAATTTTTCAAAATATCTCAATCACTCCAAAACAAATATAAAGAAGGAAAAAATGAGAAAAATTAAAAATGGTATTAAAGATTTAAGGGATACATATCTATCAAAGGACCTGAAGGTGTGGAAAGAGAGAACGGATTAGAACATCCATAAAAATAATTACAGAGAACTTCTCCAATTTGGAGAAAGAAAAGGACTTCCAAGTACACAAGGCACATAGAGCTCCTAATAGACATGACCAGAAAATATCTTCATGAAGACACACTGTAGTCAATCTTTCAATGTTTTTTTTTTATCTTTTATTTAATGAATATAAATTTCCAAAGTACGACTCATGTGTTACAATGGCTTCCCCCCCCATACCGTCCCTCCCACCCACAACCCTCCCCTTTCCCACTCCCTCTCCCCTTCCATTCACATCAAGATTCATTTTCGATTATCTTAATATACAGAAGATCAGTTTAGTATACATTAAGTAAGGATTTCAACAGTTTGCTCCCACACAGAAACATAAAGTGAAAAACAATAGATGATTTTTTTTAAATGATGATGAAATCAGAGCAGACCTATTGTCATGTTTAATCCCAGTGAGAGTCAAGTTGGGAATTGGTAATTTCTTTTTTTTTTTTTTTACAGAAGATCAGTTTAGTGTACATTAAGTAAAGATTTCAGTCGTTTGCACCCCCATAGAAACACAAAGTGAAATATACTGTTTGAGTACTCGGTTATAGCATTAAGCCTCAGTG